CCATGCAGGCTGGAGGTGAGTAATTCTGGGAGCAGATGGAGAGGACGTGACAGTCCTGCTTGCTTAAGTTCATTCTTCCTTGACTCTCTCCCCCATCATTTTCCAGCATCTACAGGTCGATTTATCTCTTCTTCGCCCTTGTGACTTCAGTGAACTCCACAGATGTCTCTCAGGCGGCGAACCCTACCTTCCCAGGTGTGTCTCTGGGGTGCAAGAAGTCCCCTTAGCTGAGAGAACAGGTTGCAGCTTGAGTGCCTAGTTAGCCAGGAAACACAGGCCTGGCTCAGACAACCTCCCCTCACCCCATTCCTTACCTTGACCAAATCAATGGCCCTTCCCAGTGTCTACCTATGGGCTTGCTATGGCAGCTAAAGGAAAGAATTTTAAAAGACAACTGTATTCTTTCCAATCTCTCATTGCCTCTAGCTTTATGATATCCACAGAATAGCAAACCACTCATTCCTAAGAGCAGCAGTCTCTAAACACAAACTCATGGCTTTTTAAACTTATCAACATAATAGGCAAAACTGGAACTGTTCACTATTGCCTGAGCCAGAGGTAGCAGAGTGGCAGAACTTGGTCTAAAATACATGTCCTTGGGCTCACCCAGGACTCTGATTTGCAGAGCATGTTGACAAAGCTTTTTAGTTCTTCGTAGACCTACCTCCATCGGGTCCATTGTCAAGGTTATGACCTAGATTCTACCGACGTAATCCAGGCTTACCCCTGGTGTGCTTCAGGAAGCCCTTACAGTTCCTGGTACACTGCATCGTAGTTGGCTGTCTTTCTCACTCATTTGTGAGCTCCCCGAGGGTAGGGAACAATTCTTGCCTTGTTCGTTTGGCATCTTTCCCTGATGCCCATTGGAGAGGAGAGGTCTCTCCATGCACTTCTGTAGTTGTGCCTTGTGTAGGTCAAAAAGGCCCAATATATTGCTTTTGCTCTCCAGGAATGGTCACTTGTGATGAAAATGGAATAACAATGGAGTTTCCAAGCAGTTTTAGAACCAAGAAATGGCACGCATCTGTGGTGGGTAGGTAGCATGTGTTCTTAGTCCTAACTGGTAGCCCCCAGCTCAGGGCCAGTCTCATGTATCTGGTGAGCAGAGTATCTGAACTCCTGTAGCAACAACATCCGACTCCCACAAGGCCATGGGCCAGGGAGTGGGGTGGGGTTTCTGATTTGCATGATGCCACTGAGAGTGTAAGACCTATCGTTCCTTGAAAGTGTATCTTCTCAGAATCTCTGGGGAAACTTGTGGCTGCAAGTCACAGCATCTCAAAGCTTGAGCCATATCACCCAGTTGAGTCAGTGAAGTGACTGAAGACCTTAGAAATGGACTGGCAGTCTCGGTGCTGGGGCTGTCACTCAAGTGACAGTCATCCTTCTTAGTCATCCTGTCTGACTGAGGCTCTGGTCTCTGTAGATCCCCTTGATGTTGAAATGCTCAAGTGTAGGTATGTCCTGGACCCAGAGAAGCTTACCCTGCGGGTCCCATATGACAACTGCACCAAGAGAGTGGTAAGTAATTGCTTTGAGGAATGTCTTGGGAAGCACATAGTAACCTAACAGTTACTGGGCTTAGACCTGGTGGCTGAGAATTTAGGCTTTGGGGTAGAGCAGTGGTTCTCAAACAGGGTAGGGGGAGGTTGTCTTTCTTTATCCTGTTCAGAGGACACTTGGCAGTGTCTAGAGACACTCTTGGTTGTCACGCTGGGAAGAGGGCACCTAGTGGGTATAAGCCAATGCTGCAGACAGCCAACACTGCCCAGCTGCCCCTGTAACACAGAACTATCCGGCCTGAAATGTCAGTGTTGAGGCTGAGAAACTCTTGTGCTCAAGTGTTTGAGCCCTGACTCTGCCACTACCTACGTGTGATCTCAAGCAAGTTACTTCTTAGAAGGAAGCCTCTATTTGCTCATTGGAAAATGGGAATAATGGTACCCTCTCCGCAGGGTCACTAAAGAGTAAGAATGTCACACAGATGAAGCCTGGACACAGAAGTTGGACACAAGTGCCCAAACATGAGCTATTTTGATCTGTAACCCCCATGTGAGATGGAAGGTTGCTTTGGTGCTAGGAAATGGAGAATATCTATCCTGCTTAACAGGTTCTTAGAAGCCAAACTGCAGCTAAGCAGTAACAGTATTGCCCAATCAGGTTATTAGGAGCAATAAAAGCAACCTAAATGGAAGTTCTCAAGCTTTACTGTGCACAGAATCACCTGGAGAACTTGACTAGCTGATAACATAGGTCTGGGGTGATCTCTGGAAATATGCAGTTAAAACAGGCTACACCATCTGATTCTGATGCAAGTCTACAGACTGAGCATTGAGAAGATACATTCTTAGACCCTATTCTGTAAACAGGCTCAAACTGTGAGTCAGCTGGTCTAAGGCCCTCTGATTGCCCAAGGAAATAATCCACATGCCTCTTGTCATTTTCTAGCAATTAAACTTTCTTTATAAAGACTTTTCCAACTTTAGGGGGCTTACAGTTGCATTTCTTTAGACCAGACATCCTCAAACTATGGCCCACGGGCCACATGCGGGTGTTTTTGCCCGTTTGTTTTTTTTACTTCAAAATATATGTGCAGTGTGCATAGGAATTTGTTCATAGTTTTTTAAAACTATAGTCTGGCCCTCCAACGGTCTAAGAGAAAGTCAACTGGCCCCCTGTTTAAAAAGTTTGAGGACCCCTGCCTTAGACCAAAGATCTGCAAACCACAAACTGTGGATGGTCAAATCTAGTCCAGGGCTGCCTTTAACAATCCTTGAAGTAAGTATGGCTTTTACACTTTTATAGTTCTTGCGAAAATATGGGTTGTATGTGGCCCTCAGTCCAATAGTTACAGTTAACAGAAAAGTTGACGCCTGGTTTGAACTGAGTTTTCTGAGGTCAAAGGCAACAGCAGAGATGGCTCTGCCCAGCATAATGAGTTACTCAGGTGCTCAGTGGGTATTTGAATAACTTGGGTGGAAGCCCCATACCAACCCCATTCAACCAGGACTGTGATAATCAGACATAAAGTAGGTAAGAGATTCAAACTGAACTCTAATTCCTAATGCTAGAACTGTTCTGTCAACATGAGCCTTTGCTAAGATTTCACAAAGGATTATCTAGAGTCTCCTGGTACAAAAATGAGGTGCCTTCCAGCACTTAGTTACTAGTATCACAAGGGTTTTGCCTCTTAAATGGGTCATATGTATTCTGGCATCACCTTTCCCGCTGGGGTGCCAGCACTTACTGTTCTTACTGTGCCATTTACACACAGCATGGTGGACACCAGATGACCATCAGGTTCGTGAACAGCAGTGCTGCTTCCACACATAAGGCTGTCAAATACCAGTTCTTTTGTCCAGCTATGCAAGTAGAAGAGATCCCTGGGGTTTCAGCATCTACAATCTGCCAGAGGGACTCGATGTCTGTGAGTGAAACAGGCTGACTACTTGGGGAAATACGGTATTCTAAACAGAGCTGGGCTTAGAATTTAGACCATGACTTAATCCTCTATTCACTACTTACCTGCTATGACTATGGGCATCTCAACCTACAACCAGAAGGGGGGAGCCTAGGTCTTCCAATCATCTTTTAGCATCAGAAGTTCAAAGAGGCGAAATGACACCTACGGGCAAAGTTAGGATCCATGAATAGTCTGTGATTTTCCTACTGCATCCCAAAACCAAGCTTCTTGGTGTAAGAACCACACAAAAATTTCTCTGGATGCCTTCCACATACAGGCAGGGCCACGTTTAGAAACTTTCTCCTCCAAATCAAAGCCTCACGTCATGATTCATTTTTCTTCCAGTTTTCCTTGCCACGGATTTTCTCTGGCTTAGCTGATGCCGGTGAGGTATGAAAATAACTTTTAAAGCTACAGACGTTTCCCATTAAAAGTAACGTTACCTTTAACCCAATAAAACACTAGACTACAATAGTCGTGGTTACATTAGTACCAGCCCTCTAAACAAGGCTTTTAACTTTAGAATTCCAGTGTTAAGATGGGATGGAACGTTGAGGTTGGTGATGGTCCAAAAGCCATAACTCTGCCCCTGCCAGAGGCCATGAAGGAAGGCTTTGGTCTCCTGATCGACGACCACAAGATGACCTTCCACGTGCCATTCCATGCCACTGGAGTGGCTCACTATGTGGTAGGTGTAGAAGCTTCTTTGTACCACCACCAGGGCAAAGGCCAATGTTCCTAAATCCAAAGATGCATTCAACCTTGTCTCCAAATTAATTCATAACTCATTCAAATATCTTAATGCTTACAATTTGCCAAGCACTTCACAGGGTACTAAAAATGGTAAACAAAATAAACATGGTCCTTACCTCAATCTGTTCTTTCCCATAGACTTAAATCTATGGCACAACATAGAACTATACTTCTGAAAATCTTCCTAAAGTATTTGAGTCATTGTTCCATATTTTGTCTCATCGTAGTATTGGTGCTTTCCAGGCCAACAGTCAAGACACTACATCAAATGAACTAATGTGTTAAAGTACTTGGGACAGGTCCTGGCACATAAGTGTTCAAATATCAGCCATTTAATAAAAATGGTCCTATTTCACATTAAACAGATTGAGTTTCATAAACATTCTCTGGCTGCTGATATTATAAAATGGTCAAGCATTCAGCCAGCTCTTTTTCTACTTAAAAATCATCAGCTGCAAGTGATATCCATAGACAGCACTAGTCCTCGAGGTCTTGGAGGGGACAAGGCTGAGACTAGGGTACCTCTAGAATAGTCATTGGACAAAATGCCTGAGTTCTAATTACATCAAAATGGTACCTGATACTGGAATATATGCTTGCCCTGACAATTCTTACTGGTTCAAGATTGAAGTAAACCAATGTCTTTGAAAATGGTCTTCCCTCTAGCAACACCAAAGTCATCTCTACATGGTGTCTCTGAAACTTTCGTTTGTATCTCCTGGGCAGAAGATAATCTTCTCTTCGCAAGCTATTTGTGTGTCAGGTAAGGCCCCAGGTAGCTGCGACTTCAGTTGTGGGAGACATTGTTCTGAACACTTAATTGAGGCTGGTAATGGGCATTCTGTTGATCATTCTTCCAGATCCTGTGACCTGTAATGCCACACACATGACTGTCACCATACCAGAGTTTCCTGGGAAGTTCAAGTCCATGAACTTTGAAAACAGAAACCTAGCTGTGAGCCAGTTGCGTGACAATGGGATTGACATAGAAGCAACAAATGGCTTGAGGCTGCATTTCAGCAAAACTCTTCTCAAAATGAAAGTATGTTCCATTGTCAACCACTGAACTCTACAAAATCCTGACTTGAAATATACTCTTGTGGGTAATCCTAATACAGCAGGAGACTTGCACACAAACATTAAGGCTAGGAAAACAGGTTCAAACTTGAAGGCCTCATTTGATCATCTTACGAATTGAATTTTAAAATAATGAAGTTCACTTTCCAACACCAAGCCTCCCTAACCTCTGCAAGGGAAGCTTGAGTTTTTCTAGGTTCATTGAAGTACAAACTACTTGTCAAATACCTAGAGATGAACCTTTGCTATATACTTTAAGAATAGGACAGTTGATCTAAACAAGAGTCCGATACTGTCCTCACTGAGACTAATATTGACTAGAATTGCCAGGGTCACCAGAGCAATGACCTATGCTGGTATGTGTTTTACAATAGCATTTTGTAATAACATCTGTAGAGTCCTTTTGAGTTTGATTTGGCTTGGCAGGGTATTCCACTGTTCCTTGGAATTTGATCTGTTAACCCATGGTCTACTGCCTAGTACAAAGGGTGTGCAGTGCTGTGTACTTCAGGGCATGAGTTTAAAGCAATACATTTCCTGCCTGGGGAACCATTCTGATCCAGAGAAGTGACAGGGTCTCATGTTCTGTCTTAAAGGGAAACCAAACAAGTCTGCAGTAGGACCTGCAGATATTCAATAGACTCCCTTCCTGCCTCCCTGTGACTCAGCCCCAGACAGGTTGTGGATGCTAATTGATATTCTTATTTCAGTTCTCCGAAAAATGCCTCCTTGATCAGTTCTACTTACCATCACTCATACTGACTTTCTACCTCCGAGGAGAGATGGTATCCATGGTGATCTATCCCGAGTGTCCCTGTGAGTCACCAGTTTCTATAGGTAAAGATCTTTTATTAACCACTTCCTATCTCTACCTGGGCACTTGTGCATGTGGGAATACGAGTTCCGATTTTAATGTATTACTTATGGTTTGAAGAAATTAAAGACTTCTCATACCAGAAATAGCAGTGTAACTGCTAGGATGGGGTACTATAATACTTCTAAAACAATCACTGTAACTGTTTCATGTCTAACCTGGATATTTTGGGTTAGGGGCCTAAGCACACCATCTAGGTAAGAATGCTCAAACTTCTAATTAAAGAGAATGTGAAAGTTTAAGAGACTCTTCCCCTCAACCCCAAAAAACTCCTACAAATTCTCCAAAAGGAATACAGAATAGGTATTTCCTCTCCAGCATTGCCTCTGCCCTGTGTTTCCCACTATCCTCTAATCTGTATCAGGTCAAACTAAATAGGAAACATTAGTTCCTGCCTCAATTTCTCCCCAAACCACTCAGGGTTCATGAGTACTGAACGAAGGGACATAAGAACACAGGCACTATATACTTAAGATCAGACTTAATGTGGCTTTAAGTCCCTTCAGCCCCTCATCACGGTTCCTCACTGGTCTCTTACCCTATATGGCACTTCTTTCCATGTCTCCTGTGTCTGTCCTTGGGTGGGTAGGGGGAATCCTTCTGTTCTCATACAGAGCAGCTTAACTGTTTCAGCTTCCCTTGTAACTCAAGCTGCTTACCAGGCTGTTTTCCCTAACAGAAACCTAAAAAATCTTGGTGCCTCCTGTTGAGTTAGAATTTTTCCCTTGTAACATTTCAAGGTTGGCAGACAACTGTATCACACAGCAGACAATCTTTCTCTCTCTAACCTTCACTGCTGTCTAGTTACAGATGAGCTGTGCACTCCGGATGGGTTTATGGACTTCGAGGTCTACAGCCACCAAACAAAACCAGCTCTCAACTTGGCTACCCTCAGGGTGGGAAACTCATCCTGCCAGCCTGTCTTCAAGGCTCAGTCTGGAAGGCTGGTACAGTTTCACATACCCCTGAACGGATGTGGAACGAGATACAAGGTTAGTACTAGCACGTGGTGAGAAGTGTTAAGATTCATCTTCAAAATAATGGGCTGTTAACCCACTTTCTGTCATTTCTTAGTTTGAAGATGACAAGGTTGTCTATGAAAATGAAATACATGCTCTCTGGACAGATCTTCCTCCAAGCAAAATATCCAGGGATAGTGAGTTCAGGTGTGATACAACTGCGACTTGACTACTTAAGCTCTGTGTAAATTCAAGCAATTTATTAACCTAAAATTCTTTGTACCCACCCCCCCAACACGCACACCAACACTCTTACAGGATGACAGTGAAGTGTTTTTACATCAGGGATGATATGCTATTAAACTTCAGTGTCGAAAGTCTTCCTCCTCCAGTGGCTTCAGTGAAGCCAGGTCCACTTGCCTTGATTCTGCAGACCTACCCAGGTGAGACACTGCAGTCTAAGAAACTTAAATACTTTTGGGGACCTTTCCCTGAAACAAGCTTTTTGATGTTGCCAGACTAATGGAGCAGTAGCGACCTGTGAGACTGTTAGCCATCACCTACTTGAATACTGAAAAGGTGTTCGTTCCATTTCAGATAAATCCTACCAACAACCTTATGGGGACAACGAGTACCCTGTAGTGAAATATCTCCGCCAACCAATTTACATGGAAGTAAGAGTCCTTAACAGGGGTGACCCCAACATCAAGCTGGTCTTAGATGACTGCTGGGCAACATCCACCGCAGACCCAGACTCTATCCCCCAATGGAATATTGTCGTGGATGGGTAGGTACTTTCTGCACCATAAGGCTGCCCAGCTACTACATCAGAACTTGCCTATGACAGAATAAATCCCCTTGGGCTTCAGGAAAGCAGTCACAAAGCAAGACTAAGTGGTGGCACTGGGATTAGAAAACTTATTTGAGCCATTTAACATAAAACCCAAGCACTACGATGCTCTGACACTTTACTACCCACTTGTAGAGATTTATCCTCACAGCTCTGCAGTGTCCTCTCCGGGGGTCTGTGCTTAGACAGAACTGCACCTTAGCTTTCTTGAAGCCATGGCAGTCTAAGCCCTTAACCTGCAGGTATATTCCTACCTCAGGACCATGGATAGCCAGTGTGCTCACATGGCTCATTCCTTCACCTCGCTAAAGACTTGCTTCTTCAGTGTCCAGCTTTCCCAGGAGGCCTACCCTGACCCTCCTTACCCCTTACCCTGATCTCTTTTTTTTTTTTCCCTTGGTACTTACCACCTAGCCTATGTTCTTCATAGCCCCTGCTGGCACACATAGTTACAAAATGGCAGATGGTCTCTGCTTCTGTCACCAACACACACTGCCTGGGACATAATAGACACTCATGTAGAAAGAAGCCAGTGTCTTCTGGAGTGATACGTATAATGTATACCTCCTTGATGAGTTTAGTTGGCAAACAGATACTTTTCTACATAGTAGAAAAATAGTTACCATGTACAACTTATGACTTCATGGGTATTGAACAGGTCAGGTAAGAAGTATAAAGTAAAAGGTATTAATACTAGTAGATACAGCAATAGTCATAACTGAACTTGGACAAACACTGACCTTGACTCTGGGGTGCATGTGACTGACATCCCTCCCTCGTGCATGCCTTCTAGCTGTGAATATAACCTGGACAACTACCAAACCACCTTCCATCCAGTTGACTCCACTGTAACTCATCCTGGTCACTACCAGAGGTTTGATGTGAAGACTTTCGCCTTTGTCTCAGAAGCCCAGGAGCCCTTCAGCCTGGTAAGTGATTAAGAAGTTACCTGGAGCAGGTCGAATGTCAGTGCACCGGTTCCACCTAACTCTTCTGTCTCCAGGTCTACTTCCACTGCAGCGCCTTAATCTGCAATCAACTCGCTCCTGACTCCCCTCTGTGTTCTGTGACTTGCCCTGTATCATCTAGGCACAGGCGAGGTAAAAACTTCAAATCCTTGTTTATGAGAGTCATGAAGCAAGCTTCAACTTTTCAGAATTAAATATCTCAGGGATAGGTGTTAATTCTTAATCTCAAGGGCTGCAGAAACCCCTGGTTGGCCCAGCCTGCCTTACCCATATATGCCTGAGATGGGCAGGTTGTTTCGTTCTACAGACCTGTTCTTTGAGAATCCATCCCATTTTTATAGTAAAACATGACTTCTACAAAGGCAGATAAAACTACATGAAGGGAACAGGATACTTCATGAAGCTTCTCCTTCTAAATGTTTGATCAACACACCCCTCGAACTCCTATTCCAGAGGTCAAACACAAACTTATGTCTCCAGCCACAGGAACTACTGAAGAAGAGAAAATGACAGTCAGCCTCCCAGGACCCATTCTCCTGTTGTCAGGTGGCTCATCATTCAGAGGTATGGACATTAACCCTGTGATACTTCCTGGATTCAGATTCTTAGCTCTTTATGCCAAGAGTTTAATGCTATGTATTATTAATATATGCTCCTGGTAAATCTAAACAACAGAAGAATAAGTCTCCCTTTTCAGAGATAGGAGACATGACAAAAGCCTATGTATCCTTCCAGAAATCACTAACATAATGGGATCTCATATTCTACCTACTAATCTATAACTTGCTCTTTAACTTCTTTTGGCCACCTTATCAGTTGATTACAAAGGGACCTATCTCAGTTAACAGCTGTTAGGATTCCATATAGCTCTAAGTCATGATCCTCATTTGTAGACATCTAGGTTCTTCTAGTTTTATCCTTAATGCCATATTGGAATCTTCTAAAATCTGACAACGTAAGAAATTTATGATATATTTCTGATAGATGCACATGCCTTCTTCTAGGCAATCCTAACTTGCTGCTGCCAAACTTAAATTTATATTTGATCATGTTCCTGTCTAAGACACTCTAGGGTAAGGATATGAGATGATGATCTGTGAGATCATGCACTCAAGGGGATGGCTAACTATGCCTGTTAGCATCAGGATGTTGTGTGAAATAGGCTGAAACTAAGGTCCTTTTTAGATGTCAGCCCCTCTGACCTGGGACTGGTAAAAGCCAGTGGCAACAGTCAGGAGAAGGGTGAGAGTGGAGCAGGGGAGGCCAGCCCACTAGGTGAGGCTATTCCCTGGTGCAAACTTGCCAAATAAGCTTCTTAAGGCTTAACTTCATCTCCTCCTCTGGGAAGCCTCAATATGTAAGGCTTCAACTATTGATTACAACATAATCTGATCTTAAGACTGGAATGTCTGCTTCCTTTCCAGATGTCGTAGACTCCCAAGGGCACGGGACTGCTGGAGATGTTGCTCCTAAAGTAGTGGTTGCCATGGCCATCCTAGTAGGGGTGGTGGCAACTCTGGGTTTTGTCAGTTACCTGCTCAAGAAAACCATGTTAAATCACTAACTGGACTTCTAAATAAAAGTAGTTGACATGAGCCTCTTGTCTATGTCCTTATTAAGGTTTGACAGTGTGGAAGAACTTTCAGTCATTCTACAGAGTAGATGCAGTACCTATCCACAAGCCTCTGGGGAGTGGGGAACCTGCAGCCTTGGTCACAGGTGGCCTTCTGGATCCTTGAGTATGGCCTTTTTACTGAATCCAAATTTTACAGAACAAATCCCTTAATGAAGGGACTTGTTCTGTGAAGTCTGAATTTGGTTGAGGGGCCGCCATTGGATCTGGAGGGCCACATGTGGCCTTGAGGTTGCAGGTTCCCCACCCCCTGCATGTGGACACGAACAGATTTGGTCTCATTGCTTCCTGTCATCTGGCCTCTCCTGACCCCTCACCCTGTGCCTGAATCCTCTGGCACTCACAATGAAGTAGTGAATGTAGCAGATGGCTGGCTACAGCCTACCTCTGGAGGGACACTTCTATCCCTGCCACTCACACAGGATGGGGGCAGGAAGCCACCTCTGGTCACTGGTACAATTTCCCTTATAGGAAGGGAAACCAGGTGTGTCCCCAAGAAAGTAAGCTATCCTACTTTAAAGTAGTTCCTAATTCAAATTACTCACGTAGACAAATTTCCTGAGAACTGAAAAGGATTTAGTCCCGTTCTCCCCTGCAGTGCTAATCTAAAGATCAGTAATCCCCTTCTTGGGGAGAGAAAGGAATACCATAAGGTGCCAGCTTCTGTAGGTACGATTACAACATTCCAGTGTCAAGACTCTACAGCTGAACCTGAGCCTGGGGTGTTACTCTCCACTCCCTGCGCTTGCTCACTACCTCCCCCGAGGCTCCTTCCTGAAGGTGCCCAATCTTACCCCATTACATCGAGAATGTGACTGGTGTCTGCCTCGTGCTGGACCTCTAACAGGCCATCTTCAAGACATATAAGACAGAAACAAATTCAACTATATCTTTGTGTTGTCTCCCATCTTAAAAGCAGCATTTAAGAGTCAGTGAAATGGGAAAATTCCACTAATCTATAGCCTTAAGCATATAGATTTAACCCAGACTTCATATACTGCTACATTCCCACCACAGATCGTGCCTCACAATAACTTTGTTTTTAACTTGTCTAAACTGAATATAACTTTGGATCCAAATCTAAACTAGATTTTTTGCAAGGAACATGATTTTTAAATCTCTACACATGGGGTAAGGTAGAGACCTGTGAAAGTCTCCAGTGTTAGGACTTTCATCTCACCTTGAAGGTAAGCAGAGAGTATGGTATGTACTTGGTCATCTTGTATAGACTATGGGTCTCTACTACTGAGTTCTTCTAATCTCTTTCAACTTACCTCTTTCCAAATCCTTTTGCTAGATATTTAGGTGGGTAAAACTCAACTCCGGTGTGTGTCGGGGGGGTGGGGCGTGGGGGGACAACTGCACTTACGTTGTGTGGAAGGTCTGGAATGTCTAGAATAATAGGGTCAAAAGCTTAAGTTGTCTCACTGAGGCCATTCTTTCGACTTTGATTTATGAGGATATAAAGTAGCATTCTGCTAATGATAAAGCATGAAATGGTCTCAGATTCAAACTTTCCAGTAATTTTATCATGGTATTGCACGTTACATTTGGAAATAAAACGTACATGCTGTACTTTGACATTTTTTTAAATGGCTACTTAGGTGACTTCCTGACCCTGTGTGGTAAGCTGAATGACACCTACCCCCGCCCCCAATGTCAACATCCTAATCCCTAGAGCCTGTGAATATTGTTACCTTTACCTGGTAACATGGACTTTGCAGATGTGATTAAGGTTCTTCCTGGTGGAATCATCCAGGTTGTGCCAATCACAAGGGTCCTTATAAAGCAGGCAGGAGGATCAGTCAGATGGATCAATGGAAGCAGAAGTTGCAGTGATATAGGACCACAAAAAAGCAAACAACACCAACAACCGATAAAAGAACAACAAAAAAAAAGATCCCCCCCCACCACCACAAGAAGCACCGCTGCAGCACCCCGGACGACTGACCACCACAAGAATAAGAAGATCAGCTGATTAAAAAAAAGTTAATGTTAATACAGCTACAACAACAAAAGAAAACTAACACATGAGGAAGAACCAACAACCACAAAAACAAAAAGACTCAAAAAAAAAAAAAAAACAACAAGTATAGCAAACACACACTCTCTTGCCCCGACAAGAGAGTGGGAGAACAACACCAGAGCACAGCAAAACCAAAAACCCCGGCGCAAAACACATCCCCCCCCCACACCCCCCAGAAGAGCGGACAACACACACATGCCACAACACCCCCCGAAAATATACATATATATATTTTAGTTAGCCAATTTCTTTTTTTTAGTACAGATGGGGTCTCTTGCTCAGGCTAGGTTTGAACTCCTGACCTCAAGCAATCCTCCCACCTCGGCCTCCCACAGTGCTAGGATTACAGGCATGAGCCACCATGCCTGGCCTCTAAAAATACTCACTTTACAAAACGAGCAACTTGAGCCTTAGAGTAGGTTGTCCAGGATGTCACAAGCTCTTGATCAGGAAGCTAGGATCTCTCATCTGCAAGTTGGTCCTTTTCAGAGGTCAGGACCAAAGTCACCTGGGCCTCAAGGCTGCCCCACTGCATGTCTTGGTTCTGATGTGTTTGCCACAAATGCCAAAGCAGAGCTTGAAAAGCGGAAAGCCAAACTGTCGTGGAGCAGCTGCTGGGATGAACACTTGTTGCCATGGTATCCTGGAACAAGTATAACGAGCAGTAGATTAAAGTCGTGTTTGAAACTTCTGGAAGTACACACCCACTGCATACGGGGGAGGCAGCCTACACAGACAGGAACCATGTGGGAAGAGAGTGGAGCTCAAATCCTATAAGGCTGCTGCTTCATCAACACCAGTGCTTGCAATCTCCCTTATCAGGTAGTGATGGGCTGTAACTGTCACACAGGTGTCACATGTAGAACAAAAGGACTTTGGGATTCTGACACTCCCTTGGGCAGTTCTGATGGTGGAGGCTGCAAGGGGTGGGAATGGACCCGTGTGCCCTGAGAAGCCAACTGTAAGGTACTCTTCTTTCCTGCCCTGTTCTGCTGCTTCAGGCAGTTCAGTGGGATGCATAGGTCTCCACAAGAGCTGGATTGGATTCTGGATCTACACCCTCCTAGCTGTGTGGCCTTGGGCAGACAGAACAATCTGAGTGTGTTTCCACATCTGTAAAATGGGAATACAGCCTCCTTCAGAAGCACGTGAGGCTTCAATGAGATAATGGTTGTAGTGGTGTATGTGATGCATCAGAGCATCTAAACACAAGATAACAGCACTGTTCTAAGAGTTCTGAATAAAACCTCAGGTAATATTATGAACAATAACTGTAGGTGGAATTAAAGCTATGTGCTAGATCAGAGGTTCTTAATCAGATACATAATTTATAACTTGCTTTGTCCCCAACTACTAAACTAGAATCTTTGAGAAGAAGTCTAGACAGGTAGCGCAAGGCCTGATCAAAAAAGACATTCTTGCCCTTCCTTTCCTGCCCAGAGCCCCTGGACTTTGTTCAAGCATGGCATCGCATACATCCCAGGGCAGCAGTCCCCAACCTTTCTGGCACCAGAAACTGGTTTCATGGAAGACAATTTTTCCACGAACTGGTGGGGTGGGGAGGGATGGTTTCAGGATGATTCAAGCACATTACTTTTATTGTGCACTTTTTTCTATTACATTGTAATATATAAGGAAATAATTATACAACTCGGCATAGTGCAGAATCTAATGCTGCTGCTGATCTGACAGGAGGCAGAGCTCAGGCGGTGATGTGAGTGATGAAGAGCAGCTGCAAACACAGATGAAGCTTTCCAACTCACCTGCCATTCACCCCCTGCTGTGCGGCCCAGTTCCTAACAGGCCCAGGGCTTGGGGACCGCAGCCCTAGGGAATGTATCCTGATTGGCCTAAGATAATCAAGACAAAGCCCTAATTCCCTCCTCAGAGTTTTGTCCAGAGGTGGCCATGTGTTCAATGAGATTTAAGTGGAAATTAAGAAGGGGAGGCTTCTTTTTCTTCCTTTTTTAAAAAAGGTATATACAATCGGCCCCTTTTCTACTTGCTTTTGGATGTGGTTATGTGACACTGTAATTTCTTGACCTATGGTTGCCATTTTGTGACTATGGGGAAACAAACCTAAAGATACCGTAAGAATGATGGTGCAAAACCATGGAAAGCCTCAATCCTTGATGATTTCATTGTGTTCCCTAAGTCAACCCTGGAACCACTTGCCTCTGGATTTTATACTTAGTGAATGGTCAAGGGTTCTTATTTTTTTGAGGGAGGCATTTTCTTTCTTGTAGGTAAAAGCATCCAAACGGACTGCGGCTTAAAGAAACTTTAGTTTTAAAATAAAATCTATGGCAATAATTTGCATCTGTAAAAACATACCAAGTTACATGTAAGCTTTTCTTTGAATTAATAGCCAAATGTGTATAAACCAAAAATAAGAGTACCTTTGGCAGACAAATTTATTTGCTTTGGCTCCCTCAAAGCCCAAGAGGACCAAATTCTGGTTGTGTTCATCTTTGAATTCCCACCGGTACTTTTGCAAACGAGGTGATCTGACTAAAAATGTAGTATGAAGAAGCTTGATTCAAAGCAGAAGTTTAGGCTCTTACCTCTCACCCACACTTAGGGATCCTTTTCCTTGACTTCTGTTCCAGGGTTAGAGGGGCAGGGAAGACACCTTGAAGTGAGCACCCCATGTGGGAGACGGGGTTCTAGCCCCAGCGCTGCAGACTTATTGTGTGGCCTTGAGTAAGCAGCTTTCCCTCTCTGGGCCTCAAGTTTGCCAACTACAGAAGGGGAGGGTTGCTACTTACCTTGCTACTCAAGGTGTGGTTAGTAGAAGGCTTCGCCTGGGAGCTGGTAAGCAATGCAGGAACTCTGCCGCAGACCTATGCACTCAGAATCCGCCTTTCACAGGCTCCCTGTAGGTTTGCACATTCAAGTTCAAGAAGTCTGATACTTCTTCCAGCCCTCAGCGCTTAGTGAGTCTCCACTGAGCCAGCTTCAGATGGCCTGCATGTGAGCGCCCTCTCCTGGCTCAGAGATGAAACACTTTCTTTAGGACACTTCATTTCCTTAAGATGGTTTTTTAAATTTCCAGATGGGGCTTGAAGCTCCAGCACAGGAGCTCCAAACAGGGCATAGGGAATATCAGCACACGTGCTGAGCCCTGAGTTTCCTCCCGAGTTTGAAAAGCTGAACGACGTCTGCTGGAGCTGAGGCCCAGAGTGTGCCCTCTCCAGCCTGGATGATCAACTCCCAGCTGCCATGGGACACACAAGTCCACCCCCTCCCCCCAATGTCTTGTCCTTGTCACTTTGCTTTAACAAAAAAGGAGGAGAGGAACCATGCCTGGCCCGGGAGACTGATAACCAGGTGCTATGGCTTAATCACTAGCTATATCTCTGAGAACCTGGACAGGTGACTTGACTTGGTTAGCTGTGCTTCCTCTTCTTTCATCTGAAGAATAGGGGATGGGAGAGAGCAGAATAACTTCTCTGTTATCAAATGCCAAGGATGGTAACTGATATGAAAGCTCTTTGAAAACTTTATTTTACAAATGTGAAGGTGTGTGTTTCGCTGATGCCCCTAGCATAACTGGCCGCTCTGGGACAGACCTGGCCAATTCCAGCCCCACCCCAGACTAGCTCTGCCATTGCTCAGTCTAATTATCTTAATTCTTATTATTTATCAAGATCATGGTTTTTCAGCCTTGGCATTATTGACATTTGGGTCCTGATTATTCTTGGTTGCGGGGGGCTGTCTTGTTCTTGGTAAGCTGATGAGCAGCATCTCTAGCCTCTACCCATTAGATGCCAGCAGCAACCCCCACAAGCACACAGTCGTGACAATCAAAAATGCCTCCAGACACACCAATGTCAATGCCAAATGTCCTCCAGGGGTAGAGGGGAGAGGTAATTACCCCCAGTTGGGAACGACTTCTCCAGATTTAGTCTTCTCAGACTTTCTAATCAACAAAAAAATATTGCTCAGGGGCTTCTATGCATGAGGCTTGGGCTACCTGAAGTGGAATACACACTTTGTCTCCATCCCCAGGGCACTAATAAGAGATGGGCTGGACAGGAGGGGAGGGAGGAAGTCCAATATAAGGGACCAACAGCAAACGAGATCTAGTCAAGCAAAGGTATAACATTTCCAACATTTTGTGACACTTGCATAATTTTGAGATAACTTGCCTTGGTCTCCCAGTGGCTCAGGGGTTGGGTGGCATTCTCACTGCAGAGTGAGGAAATCAAAGGACAGAGAGGTTGTTACCTGCTCAGTGGAGAAACAGTGTACATGAGTGAGACACGACTTCATGGAGTTGGGTCGTGGAAGGTGGGAATGTTGTAGATGGGAGGTGTGGAAGAGGGATAGTTCCAGCATCACTGATTTTCAACTTTTCCACCATGCATGACGGATGATAGTCACCATAATGACACATCCAAGAAGCATTCCTGATTTGGATATAATCCCCCCTCCCTTCCTTTTCCCCAGAAAGGCAAAGAAAGCACTTCAATAATTCATAATTGTCACAATTCTTACCAAGCACCCAGGGAGAATGTGTGTGCACATGCACATGTGTGCTCACATAGGTGTGATCCCTAAGGGTATCATACATATCCCTAAGGGTACGTGTGTGCATGTGCACACGTGTTTTGCAGGGTGCGGTGACACAGATAGAGAAGGCAGGTTATTCTCAAATTCCACCTCCTCTCTCTACTCCACCTTTTCTCTCCTACTCAAGGAAACACATCAGAATACAAATGAAAGTACTGTTAGTCATCCTAAACCTTGTGGAAACTCATACCTGATCATGCCACCACTGGGTGTCATGATTTCTGCAGAGTAAAACAATAGAAGCCGCACAGAGATGGTGGCTGAGACGGTGCTATTATGGGCACAACTTTAGTGGGAGCCGACTGTTTGCATTTCATTCTATGCAACCGGCGATCCCTGCAGTTACTCCACACAACAGCAAAGGTCATAGGTACTGTCACCACAACATATGTTGCAGAATGGGACCAAATACCAGAAAACCTCTAAGGCAGGCAAAGAAGTTAACATTTGACAGCAAACTGGGTTTGAATCCTACTTCTATCTGCTCTCGGGCAATTTAACTTCTCAATCTTTCAGCTTCCTAATCTCTGAAGTGAGTAGTAGTGCAGATTGACTGGAAACATGATGTGTACAGGGCTTAAAATATCAATAGCACCCAACACATGGCAAATACTGAAAAAAATAAACAAAAACCCTGGACATACTGGTGAATTAACATTGTGACTGTATAAGGTCACAGTGTTCATGCTCTGGGGATTAATTACCTTTCTAATGAGCCACACATTGGGCTGTGTCTAAAAAGACAGTGATACCTTCTTACTAGCCTTAAGTCCTTAATGGTCCTCCACAGCTTGGTTAACAATAGGCCTTTTACATCTTCCTGTGTCACTCAGTTTTAAATGATTCATGCAACCGTGCATTTTGATAACTATTCTTCATGGGTGCATTCTGTGGCAGGTACTGTGTTGGGATTCTGTACCTTATTTCACTCCATTTCATTGGCCTTTGCCCATGCAGCATAAAGAAGGCCTGAATTAATAACCTTGTTGCCAAGCCTTCATTTATATGCCACGTTTCTTGGCTGAACTGGGTGAGTCGTTTTGAATCTTGGTTTCATCTCTAAAATCCACAGGCTGACAGAATATAAAAAATGAGAAGCAAGCAGGAGAAGATTGTGATTGGTCTTTGATCATGGAATGATTCATGAGAAGAAAGAGTTAGCACTTCTAAGTGCCTTGGGAAAGCACTTTGTACTTGGTGAGTTTGAAGCAAGGGTGTTTATGGGATCAAAAAAATGTTTTGAAACAATCTCTTGGCTACTCTGTGAAGAGTGTCCCACAAAAGGCTGTGTAAAGCTCTCAGTGCAGAAAATACTCCCAGACCTGTATTCCCAGCCTGGACCTGCTCTCTGAGCCAGCTGTCTACTTGACACATCCTCTTGGTGTCAAAAAGGCCTTTATAACTTGGCATTTTCACACAGCCCCATCTCAGAAAATAGTGCTTAGGCACAGAGAAGAAGTATGGTGCTTTGGCACACTGAGCATATTTTAATTAAAGGAAATTGGAAGGCCCTAGAAGATGCCTCAGAATCAAAGACTTTCTAACCTCTTGTTTCTTCCAGGGAAGGGGTCTCTCTGGAAGTTCCCTTTTGTCTGAAGGAAGAAAACTTCCAAAAGATGCCATTGTCTGAAGACCCCCTGCCCCAAGAATCTCATCAAATAACCAGGAAAGTTTAACCACTGGAGAAGAGACTAAAAGTTGGCACTGTGCCCAGACTTTTTTATATATTCTTTTGAGGGCAGCTTCAAGACACAAGAGACTTTATCTGCATAATACGCAACCTTTGTTCAAAAATGCAGTTCTGCCCCTCACTTTTCAGTGACTTGCCCCCCATTCAGTTTCCAAAGAAAATCATTTGCAAACTATTGTCTGCTCTTTGGGCCCATTCAATTCCTCTAAAAATCACTTACAATCCATCGAAATTGCCTACAATTCCCCCATCTCCCAATGTATAAGTTTCAACCATCAGGCCTTCCTTTGAGTCTCAGATCTGTGGGACTTCCATGTCCAAGTGCATGTTACTAAATTTGTGTGCCTTTTCTCCTGTTAATCTGTTTGTTGTCAGTTCATTTTAGTGAACCTTCAGGGGGTGGATAGGAAGTTTGGCTTTCTTTGCTCCTACAATAGTGTTACCATCCTCCCACTGCCTCAAGCTAAAAATCTAGGGGCCAACCTTGTGTCCTCCTTCCTTCTCCAACATCACCAAATGCTGCTTGCTCTCCAAATGAGAAGTCTTCGTTACTCCCACCATAGTGCAAGTTTTAAGCCACAACCAGCCTCTGCTCTGGGCCTCTGTAGACCTCCTAACTGGCCTTCCTACTCCCAATGCATCACCTGTGATTTTCAGGATCACATCACCGCCATGTGAGATTCTTCTCTTTGCTCTTTTGTGTAAACTTCTCACTCTATGGGGTCTTGCACAATGAGCTCCTCTCTCTCCTACATTTACCCTTTGCTCACCAGGCCTCACCACACTGACATCATTTCTTTTTGTTAAACACATTAAGCTCCTTCCAGTTTCTGGGCCTTTGGGCTGCTGTACCCTTTTCCAGGAACACCCTCTCTGCAGCGCTTGGTCTGGCAGAAACTTCTTATTCTTAGTTCAAAGAAAGGGAATCCCAGATCACTGGCTAAAGTGGGCTCTCCCAGTTACTTATCACCCTTTTATCTTTCTTCAATGCACTTATAGTGTGATATTTTGTTTACTTTTTGCAGTGAGTAGATAGGTGAAGCACATGATGCTCACCTGTGGTTTGCATGCCCTTGTGTGTTCCCCTCCTCCCGAGCGTGAGTGGTTCCTGTTGATTTGCTTCTAACCAACAGAATACAGAAAAAGTGGCAGGATGTATGTGATTACACATACATGATTATGTTGCCTAAGAATGTAATGTCCATCTTACTAAGAGGCTCTCTCCCTTGGTGGTTTTGAAGAAGCAAACTGCCACATTATGAACTGCCACAGGAAGAGAGGAACATGTAGTGAGGACCTGAGTGCTTCCATCCTGCAGTCAGCTAGAAGCTGCCAGTGAGCTTGGAATCTTGGTCCTTCCCCAGTTAAACCTTAAATGAGAACCCAGCTCTGGCAACGCTGTGATCACAGTCTTGCAAAGGATTCGGTCAAGCCATGTCTGGACCCCTAACATGCAGAAAACGTGAGACAATAAATGCTTGCTCTTTTAAGCTGATAGTTGTTGGTAAATTGTTACAAAGCAACAGATAACTACTAATAAAACTTTTTTTTTTTTTTTTTTGAGACAGAGTCTCACTTTGTTGCCCAGGCTAGAGTGAGTGCTGTGGCATCAGCCTAGCTCACAGCAACCTCAACTTCAAACTCCTAGGCTCAAGCAATTCTTCTGCCTCAGCCTCCTGAGTACCTGGGACTACAGGCATGTGCCAGCATGCCCGGCTAACTTTTTCTATATATTTTTAGTTGGCCAATTAATTTCTTTCTATTTATAGTGGAGATGGGGTCTCACTCTTGCTCAGGCTGGTTTTGAACTCCTGACCTCGAGCAATCCGCCCACCTCAGCCTCCCAGAGAGCTAGGATTACAGGCATGAGCCACAGCTCCCAACTAGATAACTGTTAATAATACTGTTAAGTGACTCCTGTATTAAAAAGAAAACTTCAGGAGGGAGACCAGGGACTTACCTACTCTTCATTATTGAAGCTGCAGAACCCAGCCGGGAGACAGCATATGTAGATAATATCAGACACTTACATGAAGGAAAGAAACATTCAATAAACAATAATTCTTAATATTAATACCTCCATGGTATTGTCAGGAATAGGCAGTTCTTGTTCTCTAATGGAGATGAATTCACCCTTAGTGTCAGTATGGTGAATGTCACGGGATGCAGAAGTCTCAGTAACAAACTAAGGCCTTTTGAGCCCCACTGTGGCAAGTAGCAGCATTTGTTTTTGTCTGTCCAGCAAACATTTCATTTTCTGCTGACACTCCTTTGAGAGCCTGCTCCCATCTCTCTGCACCACAGCACCCCCATCAGGTGGAACCCAAGGGGCTAACCTCTCCCCAGCCCAGGTCCTAAATAGAAACATGTCCTAGCCAGCGGTCTGCATAGTCTATCCTTCTGGCCACTGGGATTGGTTCAGGGTTGCTCACATGACCCAAGTCTGTCCAATCAGAGCTCACCCCAGAATACCCATCCGTAGCATTGGCAAGAGCAGTTTGCTTGCCCAGTTCAGAGTGCTAACTAGAGCTGCTGGGGCTCCCTACGTCTGCCACTAGCAACTAAAAAAGGCATATTACTCAGGATCTGCCATGAAACTGACAGAGAAGGAATAAGCAGGTCTGATGTATTAGGGGACGGGAGGGAAGCGAGGGCAGGGAGAAAGAGAAAATAAAAAAATCCACCCAAATATTTAATAAAATGACACAGCAAATAAATCACTGAAGAATTTGACTGGGAAATCCCATCGGATGTTTTGTTTTTACTTTGTAGTCCTTTACTATTTTTTTTAAAGAAATAGCTTAACAGGACAAATTCTTTAAAATAATACAAAAGTATCAAGTGCAAATATTAAAAGATTAGTAGCACTGAACAGTACTTACTCAACAGAAACAGTGGAAACTATACCTCTACATTTTTTCAAAAAGACTCTTGGCCACAAAGTTATACTTGAACTCTGTTTTCCAACTTTGACAGGCTATTATTCCCAAATGCCACTGTTCTTTCTGTTAAAAAGCCAGTAAGACAGAAGAGCTTGTTCTGTTTTAGACTTTTTTTCACTTGCTTCAAAATGAGTGAAAAAATAAAACATCTTTCTGCATTTCTAAAAACAAAACACTAAAAACAATACATTCTTGCCCCCAACTGGGCCGTTGGGTCAGGTGGCAGAGCCCTAGAGGCCCAGGACCCTGCCAAGGTCACATGGGCACACGTGGGAGTGGGTATTCGAGGCAGGGCCAACTATTGAGCCATCGCATTTCTTTGCTGATTCACCACATGAGGGTGGGGCAGCTGACAGAACCAACATAAGACCAACATGATCCCCAAAAATGGGCCACTGCAGGATCCTACAAACAGTGAAAAGGCTGGCGGACACATCCAGGGAGTGCTTGGCTACCCAACCCCCTTCTCTGAGTCATAATGCCAAGGCGTGAGTATGATTCAACAGCTTTCCAGAGATGTTTGAAAAGATGTTCAGCTGGTCATTCTTGGTAGAGCCCCTCAAAATCTGCGGACTTCATGGCCAGCTGACATTCACCGCTGGGGTTTTGCTGCATCAGTGGTCTGTTTGGTAACAAGAAAAAATGGTTAGTTTTAGGGCCTCTTTTAAAGAGCAACACTGAGAATGTACATAACTGACTATGTGACATTCTCTGCTAGTTTATTTTTAGCTGCTTCTTGCAATCACACCAGACTTGGGCTGTATCCATTTTACAGCAGAGGAAACTTACAGCACAAGGAGGTTAAAAACTGGGTTATGGGTTGAGTTATGACCACTTTGCCCTCTTCTAATTTGGATTTTGTGTTTGCCCCAACTGCCTATGTCTACACAACAATACAGTGAGAAAGGCAGAGCAAGAACAGCTCTATTTTACCAGTGGAAACAAACTGAGATCAGAGAAGTTAAGCAGCCTGTTCAAGATCACACAGCTAAAAAATGGCAGAGCTGGGATTCACACCCATATCTTCTGATTTCAGTTAGTTTTTTGACTCCTTCAATGGAAAGGAGCTGGGGGGATAGGAAGAGAAACAGGTCTGTCTTTTTCAGTCCTTCTGACTATAGGTTTCAGAGGGCTGTGGGAGGGGTGGGGATGGTGCTACCAATATTAACTTAATTGGATCTATGGATTATCTTTGAATTTTCAAGTAGCCCTGATGCCCCACTATGGAAAACCGCAGCATACACCGGAGTTTGGCTGACCAGCACATGTCCCTAACACCCTTTCCCTTGGGAGTTCACACTATAGAAGATGAGAAAGCTGAACACTCCCAGCTTAGAGTGGCCACCCGACAAAGTTATAGCCAATGAAGTCTTCCAGGGGAGAATAAGGAGAGATCCTGAGAGATTTCACTTCTTTGATAAAAAGGGTCAGACTTATTTGGCGAACACTCATCTTTTTCTTTCATCCTGCCTTGCATGCAGCTGGTGTTCCCAGAACTGCGGCAGCTATCTTGCGGCCATGAGGCAGCAAACCAACCGGCAATGCAGAAGGGCAGAAGGTGCCTGGTATGTTGATACCACAGAGCAGCTGCACCCACCCTGGGCTGTCTCTAGGTTTTTGTTAAGCAATAAAAATAAATCCCCATTTGTTTCAGCTGGGATCTGCTTTGGTTTTTTCTCATTATTTGCCACTTAAAGCACTGCTACCTGATAACGAAAAACTAAGAAAGAAGCTTTTCCTTTTCTTAAGCTGTGAGGAGGCTAGGCAGGCTCTTGGGTGCTTTGGGAGACTGAGTGTGATGCGGGGTAATTTGGGGGGGCTCTACAAATAAAATCAGGCTGCCCTGGATCCCTGCTTCTCCCCAACAGCAGGCCCCAGGAGCTGTTGCTGTGCCTATATAACAAAGCAGCACGGTCCTTCCTCCTCAGAGGCTAGTTTATCTACATAGGAGGCAGAAGCAATGTATTCCATCAAAAGACTGTTTAGCTGATTTGCATAGCTAAGACCATATTTTCATTCTTTTTAAAACACTTTATTTTTTATGTTTAAGGATCAAAATGCCATTAAATCATAAAATAAATTGGATATCTCCTCTCCCCCCAGCCCCCTTGCTTTGGATCAACTAAGGAGGGGGTTATCTTTTCCTTGAGTTTTAAAAAATTCACTGATGCAGGGGTTCTCAGATGACAATTATGCTCATAATTAACCTAACACATTATGTATCTCTTCCATCCACCTTCTCTCACAAGGGAACAGTGCAGTTTTTCACAAGTGTATTTGGAAGATCTGCATGCCTCAATAAACCAATATTCTCCAAATGACCAATGCATGAAGTTACAAAATCACGCACGGTAAAGGTACATTTAGAAGTGCAAGATAGATCAGCAGACTTTAATAGAGTACAAAAATTTCATTAAATATGAAATTTTTCATGAAATATTTCATGAAATATTTCATTTCTTAAATATCATTTAAGAAACTACCGCTTACTGGATTTTATGTACTGTCATAGAAGAATATCCACGATCATTTGAAAAAGCTTTTCTTCCCCTTCCCAACTGCACATTTGTTTGTTTCTTTTTGGAGACAGAGTCTCACTCCTGCCCCAGGTAGGGTGCAGTGGCATCATCGTAGCTCACAGCAACCTCAAACTCCTGAGTTGAATCAATCCTCCTGCCTCAGCCTCCCAAGTGGCTGGGACTACAGGTGGGTACCACTATGCCCGGTATTTTAGTAGAGATGGGGGTCTTGCTCTTGCTCAGGCTAGTCTTACACTCCTGAGCTCAAGCAATCCTCCTACCTCAGCCTCCCAGAGCGCTAGGATTACAGGCATGGGCCACTGTGCCCAGCCCCTCACATTTGTGAGGCTGGGTCTTTTTCATATACTTCTACCAGAACAACATTATCACAACAGAATGAACACAGACACACAAATAAGAACCCAGTTGACTTGTATTACAGCAGACACTAAAGAGATTTATAAAACATAAAACAATGCCATTTGTGAATTTCATTTGGTTTTGGAAACTATAGTTACTTTTCATTAAATGTTTGTATTATTTTATATATTTATTTATTTAAATATGTGTTTATATCAACAGTTAATATTCCTTTTAAATGAATAAATATTGTTTTTAAATTTCTGTTATAATTTCTAATAGAGTAATTATCGATACATTTAACCCACATAAACAAAAACTCTTAGGACACCTCAATAATTATTAAGCAGGTAACATGAATCCTAAGAACAAAAAGCTTGAGAATCTCTGCCCAAGTGAAAATAATTGGATGGGAGGAACAGAGAGGAAAAGGAGATTAAGAACAAATCCTGGATATCTTTTTCAATCTCTTCATTGACAAACAGGCATTCAGATTTGCTATTTCCTAGGGGATGATTTTTAAGAACTTAATCCTATTACTGCAGGGTTCAGGGACAGGGAGGGATTTTGGCTGGAAAGCATCACCCTGAATAAGCCATATGGGCCATTATTTCTCCTTTTATCTCCTTTAAGACTGAGAGTGATCAAAACAATTTATGAAAAGCTGCATGTGAGTCCAGGGATACCAATTACACAGTCCTGAGAGAACCACCCCATGAGAGCCATTTTAAATTATAGCCACTTTACCCTTTACTGTTCAACATGTAAATATTTAACAACAGGATAACCTTTTGGTAAGAATTTCAAAGGCTATTGGGTAGAAAAACAGAAGTCAGGACATAGGTTCTTTTAGAGCAAGCGTTGGCAAACCATAGTCCTGGGGCCAAATCTAGCCAGCCGCCTGTTCTTGTACATGAATTTTACTGGAACGCAGCCAACCCCATTCATTTGCTTACTGTCTATGCTGCTTTCGTGCTACAGGGGCAGAGTTGATTAGTTGCAGCGGGGACCATATAGCCTGGCAAAGCCTAAAATACTTACTATCTGCCCCTTTCCAGAAATTGTTTGCTGACCCCTATTTTAGAGGGTCACTCGTATCTTGGTTAGGAGGGCTTTGGAAATAACTGACTTGGATTTAAGTCTTTTCTGTGCTACTCTCAGTTTGGGGACTTGGCTTCATTTTCCTTATCACAGAATGGGGCTAGTTGTGAGCTTACTAAGGCCTGGAGAGTATGTAAAAGAGGCCTTGGCACAGAGCAAGTGCTCAATAGTCACAATCATCACTTTAGCAAGTGCTGAAATTGTACAATGGACTTGGGACTTAGATTCCAAAATCAACACATAGGACAAAAATCAAGCATTAAAAAAACCTTTGAAAATCCGTTAGGAGGGTGGCACATTATAGACACACACAGTGTCTCCCAGTAATGTCAACACAGCTGGGTTTCCCTCCGACATTTAAATAGATCACTGTTCCTGCAGTAGAGGCCCCGAATGAAGCAGCTGGCATTCAGGAGCCATATTGTAGGAACAAAATCTATGTACTCAAACACAAGACCCACACTCAGCTGGTGAGAAACACTCTGAAGAGCAGAGGAGACCAAGGCAGGCTTTGGGGACAGAAAATTCACAGCTCCCATACCACTCTAGGGAGGCACAATAAATAGAATGTTGGGTCTTCCACTGTTCTCCTCTCCTCCCCACCCCACCCACCAAAAACACACCTTAATTTGATTTTTATAAATGAAATGGGCATCTTTTAAAAGGAATGAATAATAACTACCTGGTAGAGCTACTATGACAATGGGATAAGTTATGTGAATCACAGAAGATGGAAGCAACAGCTTTTGTTTGAAACTCCATTGTAAATTCACTTTTGACGTCTGATGTATGTGGGGTGCTATGAGAAACACCCGCCTCTTACGATTTTGCTTCCCGACATACACTGAGGTTATGGTTTTATTTGCGAAAATCCTTCCAAATGGCAAAGATTAAATTATTCGACACGTATTTACCTGGGAGAAAACCAGTAGTTGATAAGGCTGGAGACCACCACATAGGACACCATGAGGGTCCCTGACATGGCGACTGACACGAAGCCCAAGCCACAGAGGACACAGAGCAGTGAGAGACCACCCACAGAGATGACCAGGCCTAGGAGGAGAACATGGTTAAGAGAAGCATTCGTCTAAAAGAGGTTGAAAAGTGTGTTTAAAACAATGACAGGTCAACTCAGACTTTTTAAAGTGAGGAGATTTCCCATTAAAAATCTGTATTTCTGGCATCACTTAAAAAAAGGAGGTGACCTGGCCACCTGAGTGGTCATCATGGCATGGTAACAAGCAGCTGGCCTTCCTGTTCCCCTGTGATCCCCAACATTCCCAAATTGCATGACACCTGTGCCACTTTGCTCATTTTGTCTTGCCTGTAGGCATGAGTTTGAGAGCCCCTCACCATCAAGGTCAGAGAGATGGACTCCCAGTGCAATCCCCCAGGAGGAGTCAGCCACGGCAGGAGCATCTCCGGGTCTCAAACTGCCCAATGAATACTATTACTTATATTTACAAGCTACAGGTATAAAGGCTATGCAGGCTAAAGAAAGTAAAACCTAATTATGGCTTTTGATGATATCCTTCACAACTCAGCCTGACAACTATCACACTTTAATCATAGGTCTGATTGGCCATTTTGATCTACAGTTGGATACGTTTAAATGGAAATATTAATAAATTACCATTAAGTACAAGGAAAATATATTTTTCATAACATGGGGTCTATGGGAGAAAAAGAGCAACAGGTACAAGAGAAAGATCATGAAGAACGAGTAACATGGCACATGTTGTACAGCAAATATCCTTCCCCTTGCTTCGGGAGTGGTCAAACAGCCCAGTCCTCCATCCCCACAGCCACAGTGATGGTTTCAGGGATGGATGCTGAAAAAGCAGGAAGGCAAAGAACACACGTGGATGTGCTGCCTTTTCATAAACATTTACAAAATGCTAGGTCACTGTGTTTCAACCACCTGCATCAGAATCAGATGCATCAGGGAAGCTCGTTAAAAATTCATATTTCTAAACCCCACTCCAGACCTACTAAAATAAGACTCAATGGATGAGGCCTGAAAGTCTGCATTTTCAAAAAGGAAGAGAGATTTATACATACTCAAGTTCAAGAACCACTGCTCTAAAGGCTTTGCACATGCTGTTCTCCTGTCCAAAAAGCCCTTCCCTGCCTACCCCGAAATAAAGTTGTTATGTATCTTTAAAGTCCTGTCTGCTGCTCCCTTCTTTCTCTCCAAATTTCTTTTGTTATGGTACTTATTTGTCATTCTCTACCTATTTATTCACTTGCCCATCTATCTATCAATATTTACTGAACAAACACTCTGCCAAGCTATATTTAGCTCATCTACCTACCACACCCACCTTCTCTTTCAAGTGTAAACTGTCCACAGTCCCTTGGGCAAGGAAACAAGCCCTGGTGCTCCTAGCTCTGGGAAGCTAAGGAATGGACCAGAAGAGATCACCCAACCCACTCTTTGGCCCCTATCCTGTGGGGTATGATCTGATTTGAAAAGGCAAACTGAGCCAATCAGATCTGCTTTCCCAGTAATTGTAACTTAGTAACCCAGAGAGACATTGACAGTTGATGGTGGGACTTCAGGGAAAAAGGTGGAGAAGGTGGGTTCCAGTACTCAGCAAGACACCTGTTATGCAATAGGTGCTCAATAACTCACTGTGGAATGAATGGTCTCTCTCATAATAATGCTAGTTAGCTTTCATTGAGAAGCTACTCTGTGCCAGGTACTGTGCTAAGGACTTTATGGAAGTATAAGTTTCAATCCTCACAACCCTTTAAGAGATTAATCTTATATCCCCATTTTACATATGAAAAATCTAAGGCTTAAAGAGGGAAAATAATATGTCCAAAATCACAGTGGTGGAAGTGGAATTCTAACACAGACTCCACAGTCCTTGTTTTAACTACTCTAACAAGCTGCCTTGTTTGGTGTGATTTTGAGAAGAATAAGAAACTCTGACAACAATGGCAGATGCCCAAAAATATCGTTCTCCCAACTGAGTCATTTTGCAAAGGGGTGAATAAGTGAGCAGACTACCTTCTAGTAGTAGGACCCCCACGAGAGCTGCCAGGAAGGTAAGCACCACAAGGAGCAGGAAGAATCCAACAGGAACGGCGGATGCGGCAATGAACACCAGCAAGGTGAGGGCCAGAAAAGGATGCCTGTCCAAGTACTGTCCCACCGGAGACTTCAGAAAGGCAACCACCTGCGGCAAAGGACAAAGAGCCAGGATTAAGTGCCATGTCTGAATCCCAGGTTGAATGGATCCACCCAAGCTGTGGGAAGGACAACCAGAGGTCATAAAGTTGGAGGCTTATATGTAAAAAGTCACTACAACAATACTTCTCCCAAGACATGAGTCATCCAGGCAAGAACTCAAGGCAGCCGTGGACAGGTGGTGAGTTTGAAGGCCCCACCCAAGGTCAAGTCTTGTGAAAGGAGGAAAGACCCAGGCATGGCTCTCCTGCTAAACACGCGCCCTCTCAGGAGACCTCTCCAGCATGCGTGCATTGATGTAACACATGTACAGTTTGCCTCCTGCTTTGCAGCTGAGGTTCGCACAGCTGAAGCCACTGAGGCACAGAAAGGTTAAGTCCTGGCTACTTGGCATCACCTTGGATCTTGTTAGAAATGCAGGATCTCAGGCCCTGCCCTAGTCTTGCAGAATCAGATTCTGCTTTTTCAACAAGATCCCCAGGTGTGTTGTACACATATTAAAGTTTGAGAAGCAGTGGACTGAATGATTGCCTAGAGGCACACAGCTTCCAACTGCCAAAATCTAGGCATTCAAAGCTAAGGTCTTTGACTGAAAATGTCATACGCTTGCAACAGCTGCCACTTCAGTAGGTAAAAATGCTCTTATGCCATCAACCTGGCTACCATAGTTGGCCATAGTGGGATAACTACTGCAAGCTTATGCTGAGTTAATAAATACATCACCTTCCTTCACTAGGCAAAAGGAACTTAGGACGTGACTCAATGCCAGAGCTGACCTGAGGCAACCCCATAAAAATGGGCTTCCCCCTCCTTCTCTCTCCTTATTAGGCCCCAGGCCTTTTCTCTCCTTAGTACTGGCATTGTAGGCGCTGCTCTCTTAAAAAGTTACATCATTCCAGAACCTTCTTGTCCTTCCTATGTCTCATTCCTTAGGGTCTTGCAGACCAGCAGCTGAAATGAAGATATAATTCAAGTCCTCAAAATATAAATGCCTCCTAGAAACAGTAATTCACCCAAGTGATTCAAAAGGTGGAAATTTCGGGGCAAGTTGGAAGGCAGGAGGGTTTTGTAGTTCATGATGATGGCGACCAAAGTGTAAGGCTCACCCGCTTACATACAAAAGGCTGTTCTAAGAAGCCAGAGCCATGTGTCTTGGGGCTTCAACATCATCTCCTAAAGAGAACTCACAAAGCATGGCAAATTTCACTTTCTGCCAAGCCACGGAATGGCATTAATGTGGCCTCCTGCCACCTCATTCTGACAAAAGCTACTAAAGACCTTGCTATTCAGCTTCTCCAGCCAGAGGTGACTGTACCAGGAATCGCCTCTGAGCCGGGGCTGCCCAGCTCAGATACTCTGTTATCAGAGCCCAATTAGATCCTCCTGGGATGGCTGAAGGGGAGAGAAAAGCGGAGGCTGGTGGAAGTCACCACACAGAGTGGTGAGCGCTTTCTAGTTCTAATCCACGTACATTCGTAGTCAATGGCCCCTGTGTCACCTGACAGACTGTTCCCTCTGATCTTTACAATCCAAAGGGCCCAGGACCCACAGTGGGGAAAAACAGATGGGCTGTCCAGGCAGGGGGGTGGCAGTGCACAGTGAGTTTGTTGTGCCAGCAGGGGGAGGCCTGTGTGGCAGGAGGAGCCAATGAGGCTGGGTCACTCGGACACCAGGATCACAGGCTCACACCTGGGCTGTCCAGCACAGCAGCCAGCTGTGGCCATTCAGCACCTGAAATGCTCCTTGTGTGACTGACGGCCTGGATTTCGACCTGAATTTAACTTAAATTTTAAAGCTGATATTTGACTCAATCATTGGAAAATGTTTAAGTGTGTTTCGAATAGGTTGGATAGGTGAGTCTGTTTTATTCCACTACAAATTTTATGAAATCTGAACAGAGATCAAGTATTTCCTGTGGAAATGTGCCATCTGAATTGAGATGTGCTCTAATCCAGTTTTTTGTAGGCTTTTCTGAGTCTAGGCTCTATGACCAAGAAATAGAAAGTCATTTAGATATGCTAAGAGATCGTTTTAAGATTCTTCTCCCAGGAAGCATAGCTGGGCTCAGGCCAGTCTGTCACAGGAGAGGAGGACATGTTCCAGTCACACTCAACAGTAACAGAGAACATTCATTAAACACTTAGGTGCCAGGCACTATTTTAAGCATTTTCCACGTATTTCATTCATTTCTCCCTATAATGCTTCGAGGTAGATAATGAAGAACTTAACATTATTTAAACCCAGGGGCTTAGAACATAGCAATTAACTTTTCATTCTCATGGCAACAGAGGGGGATACAATGGGAAGATGGAAAGTGAGAGAGCTTATTCAGTAACACACACTGCAATTTTCCATCGATACCCTGGGGCAGACAGAGGTTACCCAACCCAGACTTCACAGGCACCGTGCTGCACTGAAAGGCCCAGGAAGGCCAGGCTGGGACAGACTGGCACCATTATGTGCCAGGATCTGTGCTAAAGCCTTCTCAAACAGCATCTCAGATAACCCTCACAACAAACCTATGAGCCTGCAGTGCTTATTTTAGAAAAGAAGAGATGGAAATTCAATGAGCCTAAGTGATTTGCCCAAGGTCAGACAAAGGTAGCTTATATTTTAATACACTCCCAGGCATGGGAGGTTCCAAAGTAGGGGCAATGTGGCCAGTATTGGCGGACACAAAGTCTCCATTGGACTATTCAGGAGCCAGGAAAATCCTCTGGTGTGTCAGAATGGAAAAGACACTCAGCGATTCACTGCTTCTTGCTACCAGAACAGAGAAAGGCAAGGGCAGTCAGGACCATTTAAAACCACTGGTGATGACAAATCAAAGGTGCTATGTGATGGTTTTTCCCAGATTACTGTTCCTGGGTGCCCATTGGCATGCAATTCAAGGTTAGCACATTGGTACCCAAGAGCTTGCTTAAAAATGTCCTCTGTGGCAGGAAACCTAAGCATGGGAGCAAAACTATTTTGTCACAAATATTCCACATAAGGACATGCCATCTGTGGTTATCAGCCCAGCTCATCTTCCACCTCTCTTCCTTTTCCCTGGAAACAGCCCTTTCTCAAGACAGTCATGTGTATATCAATGAAATGAAACACCCCAGCCTGGCTGCCACCTCCTTGGCCACAGGAGATTGGGCCAATGGGATTCTTGCTCCCAGGTATTGGGCACTGAGATACCCAGACCAGATCCCTTGGAGGGCTTCAGCTGGGAGACATGGGGAGTTCACAGCGCCAGCCTGGACAACCCCATTTGCCCCCATGAATGGAAAAGCCAAGGGATCCTGGCTGCAGAGAGACGAGAATGAAGCAGATACATAAGAAAAGCTAAGACAAGAAACTGCATGGCCCAAGAAAGGGTGCTGAGAGTTATCTCTGACCCCAGTGACCTGCCAGACCCTGGTTCTAATTCCTTCTGAGGCTCAGTCTGGCTTCACTTCCTGTCCTTAGTTTCTAAGATCACCTTACATTCCCCCAAAGTCCTGGCAGGTCCCATCTATTGATTTGCTTGCTACTAAAACTATTTTGAGTAGGTTTCTCAGTTTAAAAGTAAGACAATTAAGACCTGACCATGCACTCCAGAGGCTCCCTGGAAGAGATGGAGCTGTCTCACACACATGCCATCTGGAAGCCCTCTATTCTCATCTGGAGTTCAAAGGGCTTATTCACATTCAAAGAAAGGGTAAAAATTACTTGGGGGGAAGAAATCATCTAAATTCCCCAGAGACAAAAGGATGGCTGTGTAAATTATGGTATGTTGATCTAATGTACTTTGCTGACGTACTACAGGGGAAAGCAATTGTTCTGAAGACCTATACTTCAATATGGAAAAACAGCAGGATACAATATCAAGCAAAAATAAAAATACAGAACTCTATCTGCCATGATTACAACCATCACGATGTAAAACTGACATACCAAAAAGGGCGTGGTAATTGTCATCATAATAATCACCACCAATGGATTTGGCAGTTACGGGTTTACAAGGAATTTGCTCTCCTTTTTCCTCCACTATCACTCTACTGAGTTGTTAATACAATTAATATTAGTTAATAAATTGATAACAAAAAACAATTTAGAAGAAACAATTCTACTTCAAGACTGTCTGGAGAACACCAGCACTTAGATAACCACTAATTTTTCCAATCTTTCTGGGAGTCAGCTGGCCTGGTAGTTATCAGGCCCAAACCAACAAACACAGCTGAGGATGTGACATGAAGGACTGAAGAAACTTCCAAAAGCTGAGTTCATCTGCTGTGAAATGACTACTTCAGAAGGCGGACATGACTTTTAACTAAGTGAAGGCATGCCGAATGCCTAGCGCAGTGCTTGGCATAGAGTCGGTGCTCAATAAATACAATGCCAATCCTTATAATTTGCAGATTCCATTATATTTGTGACTCCACCTACTCACTAAAATGTATTTGTAACCTCAAATTCAATACTTGCAGCACTTTCAAAGTCACTAGTGGACACACAGCAGTGAAAAATTGAGTCACCTGACAGGGGCATCGTTCCCAGCTGAGGTCAAGCAATGTGCCACTCTGCCCTCTTATTTCAGCTCTTTAAACAAGCGTCCTTACTGTGGTCTATTTAGTGTCACATATTCACATATTTGTACTTTTGGTCTGTGATTTCACTGTTTCAAATGGTCCACAAGTGTAGTGCTTAAGTGTTCTCTACTGTTTCCAGGCACAAGAAGGCTATGATGTGCCTTTTGGAGAAAATACATGTGTTACATAAGCTTTGTGCAAGGCATGAGTCACAGTATAGTTGGCCCTGAATTCAATGTTAATGATCACTAATGCATATTAAATAAATGTTTTTAAACAGAAATATACATAGAACAAGGTTATATACTGATCAGTTGATGTAAATGTTGTGACCAGAGGCTTGAACCAACCAAATCTTGTATTTCCCCTAGGAGCAATGGCTCAGTATTTGCTAAATCAGCATCTGCAGTGACTTCATAGAACATAACTACCATGAGCAATGAGAACCAACCATAAATGTGGAAAAGGCATGAGGACCCTTCTTACTAAGCTAACTTTTAAAGAAGAGTTTCAGCCAGCTGACCAGAAAACTGCTTCTCTAATTTAAAAATAACTTGGTAAATCCACAAAGAGTGCCAGATACATTCTGGAGTACACGAGTACAGAAACACGAGTACAGAAAAGATCTTCGTAGAGTATATTGCTCTAGACCACAAAGAAGTACCTCCTCAAGTAGCCCCTAGTGGAAGTGTGCCATGCAATGCAAATACAGATCACAAAACAGTTCCTTCTGTTACTTACATACATACATACACACACACACACATATATATATATATATGTATGTATTTTTATGGGTATACTGCATTTTTTTAAAAGTCTAGAATGACATACAACAAAATGTTCGTAGTACTAGCTCTGAAAGCTTTTTCCACCTACAAAATGCTGAAAGGTACGTACAAGAAAGCAATAAAGATAAATATGCAAGAAAGTGGAATATACTATCTCATGTCCCTTTGCCACTGAGTGACTACTAAATACCTGAAAAGCAACTAACTCAAACCGAAATATGCTGAAAGTGTAAAATACACACTGGATTTCTAAGAGTTAGTACAAAAAAAGTTAGAACTTTTATTCATTAATAATTTCAATAATTTTTTATAATGATTAAATGGTGAACTGATAATATTTTGGATATATTACATTAAATAAAATGCATTATTAAAATTAATTTCACCTGTTTCTTTTTACTTTTCAAAGACAGTAGAAAATTTTTAATTACATATGTGGCTCAGATCACATTTCTGTTGGACACTGGATTTCTAGTGGAACACTGGACTCAAATCTTAACACAGTCTTTGGCCCCTCATTTTCAGGGTAACAGATAAGTCAAACTTAACAAACAATACAGAACAAATGATATCTGTGACACAGACTATTATTTATACAGCTATCTGACTAAATTTTGGCCTATGAGATATAATTGGAAGTATTATGTGTGACTTCCAGGAAGTCTTCTTAATTAGGAAGGGGCTTACAAATCTCTCTTGTACTCTCTCCTCCAATCCTATTGCCTGGAATATGGATACAATGGCTGGTGCTCTTGCAGTCATGTTGGACAATGAATTTGAAGGTCACAACTTAGACATGTCAGGGTGGTGAGCTAGAAAAATTCCTGACTTACATCCATATCTCTTTTATTTGAGAAAGAGCTACTGTTTCTGGATACTCAAAAAAAAAAAAAAAAAAAAAGAGAAAGATATAACTTTCTATCTTCTTTATGCTAGTGTTATTTGGGGATTTTCCACTATACATAGTGATTGGAAACTGACCTTTGAGTTATTCTGGAAGGACTCTATCAGCAAAGATAGCTTCTTCTGCAGCTCCTGCAAGTCCCTTGTGGTACTCGGGGGTTCCTCTTTTGCCATCCTGAAACTCACTTCAGTCTCTTTGGGGATTAATTCTCCTACCACTACGTTCTCCAGTGCAGCACGCAGTCCAACTTCTCATGTCTCCCTGTTGCTTGCTGTCACTAGAGGAAACAAAAACCATTAGTGGTCTCCATTCAGTTGGTTCAACAAGAGCTTATACTCCTCACACATTGATGGGGGGTGGGGATGCAGATTGAGGGTCACTTGCACTATTTATCAAAACTTCAAATTGCACACACTTCAATCCAGCAAGTTATTTTCCAGGAACATGAAATAATCAAACAGGTCTAAAAATATACCAAAGGATGTGCATTGTGTCCCAGTTGATAATATACAATGACTAGCAAAACAGTGGAAAGAAACTAACTGTCCATTAGGAGGAAATTGGTTAAATAATGATAAATTCACAGTCATTAAAATGATAGTGTGGATAGTTATTTAGTGACATGAAAAGATGCCCATGGTTTTTTTAAAAAAAAGATTATAACATACTCTATTTTGTTACATATGCATATGTATTTTACATATTAATATACATTGTATAGCAAAAGATCTAGAAGGACATATACCAAAGTGTTAACAGCATTATCTCTGAGAGTTTATATTCATTTTTTAGCCTGACAAAATGCTAAAAAGAACATACAGAAAGAAAGCAAGAAAGCTGAATATGCTATTTCAAGTCTCATTGCCTCCCTCCTCCCCACAAAGCCCTTCTCCTACAATAGTGACCTCGGCCTGTTTCTCTTCTTTATTACTGGACAGGTTGGCTCCCAATTATGTTATGCCATAAATCATTCTCTATTTACTTGTAGGTCAGTCTCTTCCCCCTAACAAAAGCCCCACCTCAGGGGCAGATCTTACCACAATAAATATACTCTGTGACTAACCAGCCTGGAATGTCCAGGACTCTCTCAATCTTACATAATTATATTTATTTATTTATTATTTATTATTTATTTATTTATTTATGAATGACAGAGTCTCGCTTTGTTGCCCAGGCTAGAGTGAGTGCCGTGGCGTCAGCCTAGCTCACAGCAACCTCAAACTCCTGGGCTCGAGTGATCCTTCTGCCTCAGCCTCCCGGGTAGCTGGGACTACAGGCATGCGCCACCATGCCCGGCTAATTTTTTATATATATATCAGTTGGCCAATTAATTTCTTTCTATTTATAGTAGAGACGGGGTCTCACTCTTGCTCAGGCTGGTTTCGAACTCCTGACCTTGAGCAATCCGCCCGCCTCGGCCTCCCAAGAGCTAGGATTACAGGCGTGAGCCTTTTTATTTATTTTTAATAAAGGCAATTTGCTAAATTAGACATATTTTTTAGCCCTTGTTGAGTTTTCAAATAAAAAAATATACCTTTCTTATTTAATATTTCTCAGAACAACTGTCAGGCTGGACACAGAGATACCTTTTCCATTTCTCCCTTACAATTAACCTCCTGATCTTCAGTACAAATGCTTCAAAGATTGTCACAGGGGCCAAAATTAACTGAGATATCCTCACATCTATTTACCATATTGAATATCCCATATGCTAAACACGTAAGTTGGTGAGGGTGCAGAGGGGAATTTATCTACTAAGACCTCCAGGGACCAGCATGCAAACTACAGATCCTCTGCTACTTCCTTTTTGTAAAACAGGAAACCCACTCCACATTCGGTCTTTAAAGCTGCAGCGGGTACAGGCATTGAACTTGGGATGTTCCCAGTACTCAGTTCCCCTAATCCCACGTCAACGGAGGGCAGAAACAAGCCCAGTTTCCCCACAGGTCTCCTCTGGCCGGCGAAAATCAAGTGCCACCCAGACCGGTTTGGGGAGTCGGACCCGGGCGAGCCTGGGGAGAATGGCATCGGCCACAGCCGTCAAAAGCGTCTACCTTGGCTGCCAATTCCCAAGACCTCCGCCCCCCAGTCACTCACTCACTCCTCTGAGGGGACTCCCCGGCTCTCGGAGGCGCGAAGGCGGGAGGGCAGGCGCAGACTCGCGCAGCCTGGGGGCGCCCCGCCTCCTCCGCGCCCCGGGGGGCCGAGCCAAGTGCACACCAGCCAACACGCTCCCCCTCCCAAGGCTCCAAATAAACCTCCCGCTCGCGCACCCCCGGGCCTACGGGGCAAACGGCTGCCCCGAACGTTCCGGCTGGGGGGAGGGGCCGCGTCCCCGGTGGGGGGAAGGGAACCGCAGGGCGCCTACTCCGTCCGCCCCTCCCCAGCCGCGCCGGGTCTCTCAGTCTTCAAAGGCCGCGGGACGCACGGGGAGGGGAGAGGGGTGACGCAGGTGCAGAGGGGGCTCCGCGCCCGAGCGGGACATAGGCTGAGAGAAATGCGAACCCTGGGGAGAGTCGAGTACCATTAATTTGGGGAGAACAATCCGCCTTTGGTACTTGCAGCTCTCGTCTCTGCAGTGACGGGGAAGGGGACCCTGGTAGAAAAGGACTGGCTGGAGAGGAGGGCACCCATTTTTCAATAATCCTAGGGAGGCGGCTTGACAGGACGTCTCCCCAGCACGGTCTCGCGGTGGGCTGGGGCTAGCTACCCTTCGACCAAACCTAGTGTAGTGTGTGCTGAGGGGTGGGGGATCAGTGTGCACTTGTGGGTGGGGATGAATCCTGCCTCCTGGTCCGGGCCCAGCCGCGTCCCAGAGACTCAAAAGCCTGGTTTCCGCCCCACACCCCCATCACTAACGCAGGGGCGGAGGGCTGCAGGTGTGGGCTCTACTGTGCTCCCAAGCCGCCGCCACCGCCGCCGCCGCCGCGCTCCTTCACTTCCCTGCCCGGCGAGGAGGCCTAGGCAGCCGGGGCACCCCGACCCCCAAGTCTCGAGCTCTCACCTGGTCGTAGCTGCCGCGCTACCCTCACCGCGTCTGCACACGAAGCAAAGAAAGCAGGAGGAAGAACACACGCGCGGCCAGGTTGGGAGCAGAGGAAGCTTCCTCCGCCCCCTGCTCCGCGCTCGGCTCCGCCCCGACTCTCCCCAGGCTCCTCCCCCGGCTCCGCTCAGCTCCGCCCGACTCTCCCCGGACTCCTCTCCTGCTCCTCTCGGCTCCGCCCCCCTCTCCCGCTCCTCTCGGCTCCGCCCCCCTCTCCCGGCTCCGCTCGGCTCCGCCCGACTCTCCCCAGGCTCCTCCCCCGGCTCCGCTCGGCTCCGCCCCCCTCTCCCGGCTCCGCTCGGCTCCGCCCCCATCTCCCGGCTCCGCTCGGCTCCGCCCGACTCTCCCCAGGCTCCGCCCCCGGCTCCGCCCCGGCTCTTCCCGCCCTCAAGCCCTCCGCAGAAGCCCACCAAGCCGCCGTGGCGCTATGGCCTCTGCAAAGCGCCGCTCGCTCCTCTCAGACTTTTGGGGCCGCCCGGGACAAGCCCCGAGAGGTTTAGAGTGAGAGCGCCCGGGCCACCTCGGAGACAGCTTGACTGGCAGCTGAGAATAAGTTTTTGAAAGGTCTTAGGATTCCCTCTCCTGAATACCCAAAAACAGCCTCTCCGAAAGCATGCCCGGAGCTCAAGACGCACAAGTGATGAGGTACCACCCTGACTGGAAGTTTTAACCATGACTCCTCAAATGCATGTGTAATGAGCCCGTGAGATCCTTAGAGGTTGATTAGATTAGTTATCTTCATGTTATAGATGAAAAAGTCGAGAACAAGAGAAAAGATAAACCCAAATCCCTCAGTTTGCAAGGAACCAGGTCAGAGCAGGAACCCATGTTTCCTGGCCCCAAATCCAGCCCCATAAACGAGGCTTCTCCATAGCAGCGCTGTTGACATGTAGGATGGGATAATTCTGTGTTTCTGGGTTGTCCTGTGTATTGTAAGATGTTTAGCAGCAGCCTGACCTCTACCCATTAGATGCCAGTAATAAGCCCCACCCTACCCACAGTTGTGACAACCAAAAATGTCTCAAAACATTGCCAAATGTTCCCAGAAGGCACAATCATCCCCCATTGAAAACCACTGCCATAGAGCAAACTGGTGAAGACCGTGGGCTGGGGTCGGCCTGGAGCTATGGTCTTACTGTGTGATGGAGCAACCTCTCTGTGCATGGCTTCATCTGTAAAATGGGGAGAGAGAAAGGCCCCAGCGTTGGTCTGCTACTGCACAGGTCTCAGGCCCTTTCCAGGCAGGGAGTTGTGCTGGTCTACTTCTCTGTGCCTGTGCCTGTGGCTCTATGCCTGTGCTCTGTGCCTGTGGCCATAGCAACCAGGAGAATAACTCTTTAGATACAGAGAGAAGCAGTTAAGGGTTGTACTGAGAACTCGTGAATTAATGGCTGTAAAGAATGTAGCACCTATTAGATAGTAGGGGCTCAAAGTACTTGATGGTATTGTTACTTCTACCTCCTAATATTTCTAGAAATAATTGGGCTGATGGATAGAGAAATAAGCCTGGGGAGTGATAATTATAATAAACTCCTCCACAACAGCCAAAAAGAAGAATTAATGGTGGGGATCAGAGAACATGGACAGAGAAGTGTCCCTAAATTCTTAAGTTTCGGGCAACCTTGACTAGCTTCATGCACTTTGTTCAGCTGCAATATGATGGGTTCCTCGCCCAGAAAAGGTGTTTTATTTTTTCCTCTTAGAATAAAGCATTGCACCCATCATTTCTTGAATAGAGGTTGCTTTGGAAAGCTGAGTTGGGGCTTCCACTGGGATTTTTGTTTAAGGGTGCCATCTAGGGGTGCCTCTGTGAATCTTCTAATTCCTCCCACCTCTGGCATTTTTGTGGGGCCAGCCAGGTTTTGCTTGTCCTTTGTGTCGTGCCTCATCCACCACATCATGTATTCCCATATGGCTGCAATCCTAACATCTCTCCATAGCAGCAGGACTTGGCATTCAGTGAACATTTGATAGATTGATAAAATAAATCCACATGCAGCCTCTCCTATGTCTTTCCATAATTACTTGCTGCAATGGGCTGAATGTTTGTGTTCCCCCCAAATTCAATCCTAATCCCCAAGGTGACAGAATTAGGATGTGGTCCTTTAGGAAGTGATTTAGGTCATGAAGGTGGAGACTTCACAAATGGCATTAGTGCCTTTATAAAAAGGACCCGAGAGTTCTGTTGCCCTCTTTCCACCATGTGAGGATACAGTGAGAAGTTAGCTGTCTGCAACGTGGAAGAGAGCCCTCACTGGAACCTGACCATGCTGAACACCCTGATCTCAAACTTCCAGCCTCCAGAATGGTAAGAAATAAATGTCTGCTGTCTGTAAGCCACCCAGTCTATGTACTTTGTTATAGCAGCCACAGTTGACTAGGATATATTCTCATTAAGCAACTATTTCAGGCCTCAGTAGAGATCTGCCAGGAGCACTGGGCTTTGAATAGAAATGTGTAGAAATTTCCCAGCTACAGATTGAGACCCTAAACTGTTATACCACAGAGATGGGGACAACCTGGAACCCAGCAGACCCTTCCTCCCTACATTGTCAGATTTAGCAAATAAAAACACAGGACACTCAGGTAAACTGAAATTTCATGTAAACAACAGATAACTTTTTAGTACAAGAATGTCCCACATATTGAATAGGACATACTTATACTAAAAAAATCTTTTATTTGAAAAAGTTGTTTACCTGAAATCCAATTTAACTGCACAGCCTGTGTTTTATCTGGCAAACCTATACACTCAGAGTTGAGGTGATTGAGGAATTTGAGGCCCATGTCCTCTCTTAGGAATTATTGAACAGAAAGTTAAGTTAGACAACAAGCAATTGTAGTGCAGATGAGGTTGCCTGGGGAGGATGGAGCTTTCATTCTCTTTGACAGGCATTCTATCTATTTTTCACCTTTTCTCAGACTACATGTAGGTTTTTTGTTAAAGTCATGTAACAGATTGCATAATCAGGTTCAAGTTCCAACTTTTCCTATGACCTAGCTGAGTAACTATTAGCAGGTTAGTTAGTTAGTTTAGTGTGTAAGTTTTCTCAATCATAAAACTTGGGATAATTATAATATTTATCCTCTGTGTTGTTGAGAAGATTCAGAGAGATGATGCTCATTAAGTACTTAACACCAGTCCCAGCAGACAGGAAGCCTATTTTATTGTTTTGTTTTCGAGCACAGGAAGACTTAAAGCATACTAAATTTTAGATGGAAGCATGTCTCCAACTCACACACAAGGTCATAATGTTTATTAGCACCATACTAGGCCCACTCTAATTCTTTACTTGATTGGATTAGAGTTGCTATTATTTGTGAGACATGAGGTTTCACACCCAGCATAGGAGGCCTGGTAATAACCCCATGTCTGTCTAAACCAAAGTCTCAAACTCTTCCACTGGCTCATTTATTTCAAACATTATTTGAAACCATATATACATTTTATAGTAGAGAGCACAAATATAAGAGGTGAGAAAGCTTGGGGTTATTTTGAAAATGTGGAGAGCTCAACTTTGAGGAAGGAGTGAAAAAAGGGGAAAATGGAAGTCCTTAGTGGTATGTAATGCTTTTCATAGAATCTCAGAAATGTTGGTGCTCTGGACAGATACTTTATGGACAGGGCAGTGGACTCAGAGTCATTGAGACAGGCTTCTAATTGTATCAGTCCTACTTATGAATAAGTCGAATCAACTTGGGAAAGTTATATATATTTCAGTTGGGTTTTCTCATCCTTAAAATGGGAACATCATGGATTATTGGGGAAAGTTGAATTTAAAAAATAGACATGCGGCCAGGCGCGGTGGCTCACGCCTGTAATCCTAGCACTCTGGGAGGCCGAGGTGGGCGGATTGCTTGAGGTCAGGAGTTCGAAACCAGCCTTTGCAAGAGTGAGACCCCCATCTCCACTATAAATAGAACAACAATAAAAAAATAGACATGCAAGCGTGACACCCAAAAGGAGTTCAATAAGTCTAACTTGGTTTTGAGAGAACTTCTAAAGTGACCATGTAAAATGTGCTTTGAATATTCTGTATTTATTATAACATTGATCCTAGCCACAAAATATATAGAGTGCCCACTATGTCAGATGACCAAACTATCCAAGTTTGTCCAGGACTGAGAGGATTCCTAGGATGCAAGACTTACAATGTTAAAACTGGGAAAGTCCCAGGAAAACTGGGATAAGTTGGTCATCCTTCTACTGTGTGCCAATTGCTCTATAAGCATTATCTCATGAAACCTTCGAAGCAACGCTGTGAAGTGGGTACACACATGATTACCATTTTACAGACAAAAAGGACACTTAGATTAAGCAACTTGCTCAAGCCACATAGCTAATTAAGCGGAAGAGCAGGATCTGAAGCCAGACCTATCCAACTGTAGATGCCAAGGACTTAACCACCATGCTATGTACTTTTAGAGTTCTCCAAAGACATGGTCTCTTATTGCCATTCACTTCTGTGTTCCTGGAACATTGCTAAACACCCTCCCATCTTCCTTTCTGTTACCAAAACTTCCTGCTGTCTATCTGGGCCTCCAGCAAAGGGAGACACCAGGATGTGGAGCTAGGTCAAGCCCAGTCTTGTATGTAGGCACTGCAGAGGCCCCTCCTTTCCTTAGCAACAGACGCTGAGGCCTGGTTACCGTGCCCAGGGCCTGCATAAAGCACTGCCAGTGTTAAAGCAGCCCAAGGAGGAGGAGGGAGAAGAATGCAGGCTGCCAGGGTGTTGTTTAGAGGGGTTATTCTTTCCTCTTCTCTGTGTTAATATGTAACTCTCCTTCAATTTCTCCTCTACAGTGAACTCACTGTGTTCCTGGAACAGTTCCAAGAGAGGAGCCACTCAAGGGAAAGGAAGAGTGACCATTTCAGGAAGAGTAGGAACTGGAGCTACAAGCCCAGCAGAAACCCAAGGCTTCCCCTTCATTGTCTAGCTTCCCTTTGTCTCCTTTTCTACCAGGGAACTCCTCAGGAAGCTGAACTCTATGACTTCAGAGAGGGAGCCCTGTGAACGGAGTTTTCAGAACATCTGCAAAGTTCCATTGTTGTTGTCATCCCCATTATGGTATAAGGAAGTGTAAATTTCAGAGCTACTGATAGGAAAGGAGCATCCCTGGAGAAGCCAAGAGCTCTTTATTCA